CTCAATATAATACTTCATAAAAATAAATAATGTTGTGGGGACTCCAACGCCCCTGGATTTGGGTCCTCACACTCTCCCCTCACTTTCCGCAATGAGACTTACTATCACCGTGCCTGTGCGCGAGATTCTTACCCTGTAGCTGTTGCCATCGATGTCGCGCCGAAAAGACCGCCGTCCTCGCCGCTGCTGTGGCTGCTGCAAATGCACCTCAATATCGTCGACTAAGGGCGCTGGCAAAGGGTCAACTCCGGATTGGTTCTCCCATGCACCCGGCGTTGTGGTTGTTGCGCCCTGCAGCCAGCGCTCTATTTCCTCCACTATCCTTGCATACTCGTTTCTGCCTTCAGCCTCCACCAGGCCGTCGCTGGCCGTCAAGCTTAGCGCGTCGCTGCGGTCACAAGGCGCGCATTCAATTTCTGCCCCGTCGCAAATGCGGAGCTTCGTGGGTGGCTGCCGGGGTTCCTCTGCCGTCGACACGTTGTCATTAAAAATACGCATCCGCATTTCGATGCGCCGCGTATAATCGGTGAACCCTTGGCCACGCACCTCAACGTCTTCTTGGCTTATCGATAATTCTACGCGCCGCCGTGGACACTCTTCCTCCTCGGACTCGCTCTCTGAGGATATGGTTATGGGCGTCGAGGCCCTTACCACTGCCGCCTCGTCCTCGTCGTAGTTGCTGAAGTCGTTCTCGCTGTCACTGTTGTTGGGCTCGAATAGTTCGGTGCTGGTGCTGGCACCCTCGCTGTCACACTAGCTAGGCCACTCTTCCTCCCCCGCCGCTGTCCGCATACCCATCGTATGCCGCTGGATCTCTTCCTGCGTTAATCGTTTTAGCCGTACTCGCAGGGAACCGTCTGTACTACTCTCCGCGATGTAGTTTTCGCGGACAAAATCTTCGCGTGCGCCCATTTTCGTTAGGAACCGTATTTTGGTATCCTGCGAGCCGCGGACCGGTATTTATATTTGTTCCCATTGCGCGGTGAACTGTGCTTTTCCCGAAAAAACGTTATCCCACAGTATTCCTTTAATTTTCGACGAAAATTGCAGGACATTTCCAGCCTTATTATGTATCTCGAACGATAGGCCGCACGAACGATTCGTCTGTAGGCAATTTTGTAACTCTGTCGTTCGTCTTCGTCTTGTCTTTACGTCGATTAGGTTGCAATCGTCTCGGTTACGTTGTATGATGTTGCCGGATGAAATTTTGATGTACTTCCAAAGAGTTTTTCTTAGATTTCTAATATTTTCACCTTATTTCAATGCTTTTTATTTTAAATGGGAAACATCGGAATTGTTTACATTTTGGTTTTGCTTAAAAGTGTTTTGGAAGTGTTGCGGAAAGAAATATAAGGAAAATTAATTTTTAAAAATGTATGCTGCTATAGCGCTAATGGACGCCGAGGAATCCGAAGAAAGGGAAAGGCGGATACAGAGGAGGAGATTGCGAGACCACACCAATGTAATGGAACTACCTGAGACTGAGTAAGTTCAAGATTAGCAAATAATTTGTGTATGCTACAATGTATTCGTTTCTAGATTTGTTGCAAATTTCCGAATCAATAAAGAAATATTCCAATACATATTAAACGAATTAAAAGAGCACATGGCTCCATCACATAGAAGCACCCACCTATCGCACCAGCTAAAACTCGCTACTTTTTTAAGATTTCTCGCCACTGGCAGTTACCAAAAATCTGTTGGTAACGAAAATATTTCGTCGATGGGGCAGTCAACTGCAGCCAACGTGATCAGAGAATGCCTAAATATTTTTGAGGACCATTTTTGCCAGAAATGGGTGAATTTTAGGAGAAACATCGATGAGGAAAATGCAGTTACAGAATATTTCTTTGAGAAATACGGGATACCTGGGGTTATTGGTTGTGTTGATGGAACACATGTTCGTATTAAGTCGCCCGGAAGTGACAACCACCATTTATACCTCAAACGAAAGGGTTTTTACAGTATTAATGTAATGGCGGTAGGTTAATGATTTACTATCTTTACAAGTATACATATACACAAACTGAGTTTCCTTACAGATATGCGATCGCAACATGGTAATCACATTTGTTGACGCTAGGCATCCAGGGGCGAATCATGATTCATTTGTTTGGAATGTGAGTCACGCAGAACAGGAGCTAAAATCTGATTATAACAATGGAAAAACCAACACATGGCTACTCGGTAAGTTTTAAAACTTAAAAAGGCTATATAACTATTACTGACAATGAAAATTTTTGTAGGTGATTCTGGTTACCCCTTGCAGCTTACAACACAAAGCACTCGAAAGCTCGTAATGTAATTGAGAGATGTTTCGGTGTTTTGAAAAACCGATTTCGATGTATAATTGGCTCGAGAGGGCTACACTATTTACCAGAAAAAGTTATACAAATTGTAACGTTTGTATATTTTTCAAACATCAAATTCCATTGGAGAGCCCAGATATGGAGAATCTTGAATGTTGTTGTACGAAGAAGAACTGGAAAACAGTAACATTTCGAATACAGCTGCCCTTATTAGAATGAGAATAGCAGAGAGTTTGTTATAAACGCAGTTTTATTATAAAGTATGTGTGTTTAGAATTCAGGTACACCAGCAAAATTCATTTGTCTTAAAATTAATAAAATATTTACATAAAAATTCAACAAAATATCTATTCAGTCTTAAATCTTAAATCTACATATAAACTAAGTAAATGCAACAAAATATCAATTCACACTTAAATCTAAAAAATATTTACACAAAAAAAAAACAAAATATCACTTCAATACTCTCACAATAGTGGTATGAAAATTAATTCCGGAAGTACTCCAAAAATTTTTCAAAAATTTCCTATTGGCGTTCCACTGCAGCAGTTAATTTGTTTGTGGCATCCACCTGCAGCATTGATGCCTCTGCCATTTTTTTTGCAGCCTCAGCCTGCACTTTAGCGGCTTCTGCTTGGACTTTGGCAGATTCAGCCACTGTCTCTTGGAAGGTGCGCTTCCTATTAGTGGAACGTAACGTGTGCGTTGGTGTAGGACGGGTTGTCTGTGTAGTGGAAGTTACTACTCCCACTGGTGGTGGTTGGTTGTGCCTTATAGGAGATTGAAGGGTGGTTGTTTGTTGCCTTCGTTGGTCAAGTGTTGGCGATTCAGTCACAAGTAATGGAGGCATTTCCTCCAACGACGAATGTCTTGACATGTTAGAGGTCGCCGTCGAAGGAATGCCGAAAACTCTGCCGCTCGGGGCTGCTGACCTCGAAATAAAAACCAGGCTGTCTATGGCCTGCTCCATTTCGGAAAGCGGAGAGTGACGGAATGGGCCACCACCGGTAGCAGTAAGGCTTCGTTTGTTTTCGGCAATCTTCTTTTTTGTCCGGCTTTTCAAGTTAGCCCATATCTTGAAAAATAAAAATAAAATAAAATTCAATGTAAGTAAAATGGAAATAGTGCGCAAGCATTTATCTACCACATACAATTTATGCACTTATGCTTACTTTCTTCCATTCGACGGCCGTTCTTGTAGGAGGACCATGAGAATTAATTTTCCTCATAATTTCCTCCCACCGCTCCTCTACCCTTCCTCGATCAGATCCAAACACTGCAACACCTCTGGCCAGGTCAGGATTTCTCTCCATTTCTTTTACAAGTACTTCAAATTGAGTGGTTGTAGTTTTTTTCAGCGCTACAAGCATAAATATTAATATATTTCTTTAAACCAAGTTATATTTTTTATTTTCTTACTTTTCCTGGCAGAACCTTCCATCTTAACGATCACTAATAACCTTTCGTCTGTTTTCAACGATTGTCGTCTCACTTTCGTCTTCTATTCGCCTTAAAATATTCCAAACTACACGAAAACTACGTAACGATCAGCTGTTTTCGTGCTGCCAGACGATTTCGACTTACATACTACCAACACACGAAAGAAACGTCTGGCAGACGAAACGAACGTTCGCTTCGAGATACATGATTAGGCTGTTCCACTTATACAGCCATTCACCCATTTCTGGCAAAAATGGTCCTCAAAAATATTTAGGCATTCCTGATCACGTTGGCTGCAGTTGACTGCCCCATCGACGAAATATTTTCGTTACCAACAGATTTTTGGTAACTGCCGGTGGCAAGAAATCTTAAAAAAGTCGCGAGTTTTAGCTGGTGCGATAGGTGGGTGCTTCTATGTGATGGAGCCATGTGCTCTTTTAATTCATTAAGGGCCGGTTACTCAATGTCTGGTTAACACTAATCTGCGGTTAAACATCGTTATCGACGTCTTCGACTCCATGCATATAACAGGGAGTCGGTAACGTCGATAACTATGTTTGACCGGAGATAAGTGTTAACCAGACATTGAGTAACCGGCCCTTAATATGTATTGGAATATTTCTTTATTGATTCGGAAATTTGCAACAAATCTAGAAACGAATACATTGTAGCATGCAAAAATTATTTGATAATCTTGAACTTACTCAGTCTCAGGTAGTTCCATTACATTGGTGTGGTCTCGCAATCTCCTCCTCTGTATCCGCCTTTGCCTTTCTTCGGATTCCTCGGCGTCCATTAGCGCTATAGCAGCATACATTTTTAAAAATTAATTTTCCTTATATTTGTTTCCGCAACACAACCAAAACACTTTTAAGCAAAACCAAAATGTAAACAATTCAGATGTTGCCCATTTAAAATAAAAAGCATTGAAATAAGCTGAAAATATTAGAAATCTAAGAAAAACTCTTTGGAAGTACATCAAAATTTCATCCGGCAACATCATACAACGTAACCGAGACGATTGCAACGTAATCGACGTAAGAACAAGACGAAGACGAACGACAGAGTTACAAAATGGCAATCCGTGACGATATCGCCTACAGACGAATCGTTCGTGCGGCCTATCGTTCGACATACATAATAAGGGCCTTAATGTAATTATGTGTGTGTTTCTTTGTTTATTGCAGCTGTCTTGATCGGGCAGTGCTGCCAACGCATACAGGAAAAATTGTCTTATGTGGCCTTCCCACTGGCAATTTTTCATTGCTTCGGCCATGTACTTAGCAATTTCTTAGTAAATTTCTCTATCGCTTCACGTGTTTATTTCTTTGTTGTTATTTGCTTTCATATTTTTTTTGTAGATTAATTCCTTCCTTATTTTTTATTTTTTAGGCGGATTATTCATTTCGCCGTTTTTACCTTTTTGGTATTGTCCCGCCGCTAATTCTTTCGTCGGGCGTTGAATTGTATTCAGAAGTGGTGTTGTTGTTTGTGGTTCTGGCTCCATGGTAAATCTTTAGCTCACTGACATGCGCTCTCCTCGCCTTTCCGTTGTGCGTTTTGTCCAACTCGACAATCACTGGTGACACGAAGTTAATTACCCGATGAGGCCCACTATATCTGGGGGCTAGCTTGGCCGCAAAATTGTCCACTGCTTTGGATAGCTGATGTTCCTTTACCAGAACTAGGTCGCCTACAGTTGGGCGCCATTGTCTTCTTCGTAGGTTGTAGTGCCGAGCCTGTGTGGTGGCTGCTCGTTGCTGATTACGCCGTACCGCTTTGAATATTTCCTTCATTTTTGTCAACTTTTCCTTTGGATTCACCACCTTCTGGCCGGTACCGAATGTTTGTTCATCAAAGAGAGCGTTTGGTAATCTCGGCTCTCTGCCTTGGACCACGTATGCCGGGCTGAAACCCGTAGATTCACACACACTTGTATTTAATGCCAGTGTAAATTCTGGCAGCAAATCGTCCCAATCACGTTGCTCCTTACCGGTGAATTGTGCTATCATTCTTTTAACGTTTCGGTTTGCCCTCTCCGTCGGATTCTCTTGCGGTGTGTACGGTGCAGTTATGGTGCCTTACGCCGAGCTCCTGTAGGAATTTTTTAAACCGTCCACTGGTAAACTGCGCTCCATTGTCAGTTATTAATACCTTTGGGACGCCAAACCGGGCCAAGATTCGATCCCTAAACGCTCGGATGAGGTTTTCAGTCGTCGATTTTCGGATTGCCAAAATCTCCACCCACTCCGAGAATCGGTCGAGGAAAACTATGACCATCGTGTTGCCGTGTCTTGAACGCGGGAGGCGTCCCACAAAATCGGCACATACCGTCGCCCAAGGTTCTTCCGCAATTTGGGTGAGCATCTTACCGGCAGCTTGCTGTTGACTAGGCTTGTATATCTGACATGTATGGCATTCCCGCACATACTTTCTTATGTCTCTGAACATGCCGGGCCAGTAGTAACGCGGATACCCATATGCCCCGCACTTGGTATATCGTGGATTTCCCTAAGAACTCTGCTTCTTTGCGATGTCGGCACGCACAGCCTCCAGAAGGTCGCATCTTCATCGTCCATCTGTGTCGATATTCGCCTGTAAATCCTACCTTCTTCCACCACGTATTCTGGAAACTTCTCAGGGTCTTTTCTCACCTCCGCCATTTTAGCCGTGAGCCATTTACAGTCGCTATTATCTTGTTGCAATATCATTGTGCCGAGCTGCTCGTCTTGTGGTTGTCGCGAGAGCGCGTCCGCCACTACGTTTAGTTTCCCTTTTCGGTACTGCACATCAAAAGTATACTGTTGGAGCTCCAGTGCCCACCTCGCAATTCGGCCTGATGGACTCTCTATCGCGTTCAGCCATTTCAAAGCCAGATGGTCGGAGACTACCGTAAAGGTGTACCCTTCTAGGTAAGGCCTCACCTTTCTTATTGCCCAAACTATAGCCAGGCATTCCTTCTCAGTCGGAGAGTAGTTCATCTCCGCCTTATTGAGCCGTCGGCTCGCGTACGCTATCACTCGTTCCCCGTCTTCTAATTCCTGAGTAAGGACTGCGCCGAGACCGAAATCTGCATCTGTTTGTAGCGTAAATTTTCTTGTGAAATCCGGGCAAGCTAGCACCGGAGCTTGTGTGAGCGCGTTCTTTAGAGCTTCGAATGCCCCTGCTGTTCCTCGGACCACTTCCACTTGCTGCCCTTCTTCAACATTGACGTTAGCGGATGTGAAGTGCGCGAAAAATG